TTTCTATAAACAAAAACAATCTATTTACATCAACATACACCTCATTTACATTGATTACAGACTAATTCTCAGTATTTACATTAACGTGTGGATGGAAAGAGAGAAAGAAAAAAACAATGAACAATAATGATAACTTGTGATAATGAAATGTAATTAATACAATTTCTCTGACTGATGAAAAAATAATAATAATAGCGAAAAATAACGACTCCTCGGTGTCCTCACATTGCTTCAAGGCGTCTGATGAGCTCTTGTACTTGGTCCATTTCTCTCCGCAATGAAGTCAACTAAAGGAATAGGAAATTAATCATTCATTACTTTCAACAGTTCTGTGGCTATTACCATACTAGTACTACTACCATGCTACTACTATTACCATACTACTATTACTACCATGCTGCTGCTGTTGTACTAATACTATTATTATCATTGTATAAATGTCATATTCAATTAATTACTATGCCTTAAATAGATATATGAAACTTAAGTTTATCATGTACAATACATATATTATTAATATTCAGTGAGAGAAAACTATTCCTGAAAAAATGGATCTGAGTGATACATTCACTATTAAAAATATATTTTTAGGAAAGAAAATACAGTACCTAGTGCAGAAATTAAATAGATACACAAATAAGTAAATAGCATATTGAATAAAAACTACAATAGTCCTTCCAACCTCTGCAAAAAGGAGTTATAAAATCACGAATCCTTACTGTCATGCAAATCAAAGAAAAAGAAAAATTGACACAACAAAAAGCCTCAGATAAAATGCTGAAAAGGATATAACTCTACAGTTTCCAATTTAATTAACACACCTTCTTGTAGTGGGCTTCCTGGACATGCAGAGGAGACTTCTCAACGTATCCAGGAGCCGACACAATGCCAAAGAGTTTTGTTTCTTCCTTCTGGAGCTTGGAGAATTTCTTCCTCAGTCTCTGCAGTTCCTTCTTTGGATTTATCACACCCTGCATAGCAATTATTTATACTTATAATATAAAGAAATATCCACAGATAAATAAATTGGAAAACACAATAAGAACTAGAGATAAAAGCAATACAAAGAAAAAAACATTATATGACTACAACAAAACATCCAATAAATCATCAGTTTAGTTCATAAAATTGTTTCCTTGCCTGAAGGTGTAAATAAACCGCAGTTGTGTCTGAAAGGGTTGACATGGCAGACGTGGCTGGAGGGGAAGCCGGAGCATCCATTATGTTCATGGACTCAATCCTTCCCAGAGTTAGGACTACAGGCAGGTTCTCCTTCAGCCAAGCATTCAGGTCACTGTCCTCACTCACTACACTACCTAGCAACAAGAAGGGAGAATGTTCTTAAGGCAAATGTCTTTCAAAAGAAATTTCCTTATATTTCAGAAATCATCATGTGTCATATGCTTACAAACATACACACAACAGAGGATGTTTTTTCCTTTACTCTACCTTGTACTTTATTCTGTGTAATATTGTATGTTGTTTTAAGGTTGCGAATGGCAGCTGCAACTGTCAGAAGACTTTCCACTTTCTTTCCCAACTCTTCATCTCTCCAGCACAACCACTGTTCATAAGATTTTCAAGGCACTGAATTTTACTGAGAATGTATACTGCACATGTTTGCAAAGGAATATTCAAATCACAGTAAATTCTTCTTCAATGTTTACATGTACCAAATTCCATTGCAAAGAAAGCAGCATTGTAAACATAATTCTAACAATTCATTGGATAAAAACATCTATTTTGAAATACAAAACAGTCAGCTTTCTGAAAAATATATCCTGCACAGAATGGGCATTCTCTATACATCAAGATATACTTGATATGAGTCCTACTTGTTGCTGTAGAAAAGTTCTTTACCTCATTATGAAGTGGGTAGTCACACTGCATGATGCTCTCTCTCTTCCCTGTTACGCATGGAAGCCTCTGGTACAGCTCTTCTGTGAGGAAAGGCATGAAGGGTGAGAGGACACGCAGACCCACCTCCACACATGTCCAAAGGGTGGATATTAAGGCTGCTTTGGTTTCCTCACTCCCACTCCTTAGTGATGGCTTTATGCTTTCCTGTAGGGAATTAATGTATTTTAATGTTGTAATATAGTTTTATACAAACTGTTTAAGTAGATGAAATAAAAAACACTCCTTTTACTAATAACCTAAAGTGAGCTTTATTGACAATGAGGAAGATTACAGTTAAAATTTTCAACTTTTTTACTCCTAGCAAGAAGCCTTAGTACTGGTGACAATAGTGTTATATACTTGAATAACGTTTGGAAAATACATGGTAAGAATTATTCAAAACATCAGTATATTCATTTATCAATGATTAACTCTCACCAAATAGACATCGCATAGATGATTCTGCCAGAAGGTGATGAAGCCTGACGTAACAAGGTGGAGGTCATACGCTTCAAAGTTCTTGTTGGCCACTGAGACCATCTGTGACAGGCGGCTCAAGATCCACTTGTCCATGACGGAAAGTTCATTCCTGAGGAAGAGCATTAACTATAGGAACATTTGTGATTTCCAGAACAACAAATACCATCATTTTAAAAAATACAACTCATACTGCCAAAGCAAAACCTAAAACCATACTAAAATCTGCTGCCATGTGTAATAGCCTCTTCACTTAGAAATGACAAAACAGATATCTATGTACTGTACATTGTAATCCATATATTTTCTATTGTTCTACAGTATAATTATATAGGCTTTCTATACACTATTCTTACACTATATATACATATACATAAATGCACAGTATACTTTACAAGAATTCTCTGCATGATGGAAAAATATTCTAAACAACAAAGGGGAAAGATATTCTAAAAAAACAAAAGTCATTCACACAGATACTGTAGTTTTCCTGTTTATAGTTCCTATCACACAAATATTTATAAATTAAATAACTTTTTTAACAAGAAAAGAGCTTTAGATTACAATGGTCAGACAAAGATTTAATCAAATCATCCATCCTATGAATTCATGTCCATCCATAAATGCACACATAGCACTTTCAAAATCTGTATGTACCATTCTAAGAATATATTTTCCCTTCCAATAAATCCCACAAATAAAAAACTTACCTCTGCTCAATATTGACATGATATGCATTATGCATACCATTGGGAGTTTTCTGTATTGCTGACAAGAGAAAGCGCACGGTCTGCCAAATCTTGTTCCCTAGGAACTTGCTCTGCTCCATGCGGTTTACATCCATACTCAGAAGTTGGTCTGGAAATAAAGTTACATAAATTGCACAAAAGTATACCAGAAAAGAAGATAATAGTTTATATCCCCACACCCAACTTTGAGCAGTTAAAAAAAAAGACTGGTCATTCTCTTCATGCCCAACCAGACCAAAAACTTGTTCCAGACATGCCTTATTTAAGACCAGGCATACATGTTTCAAAATTTCAATATGCAGTGGATGTGGTATTCCCACAAAGTTAAAGATTATAAATAAAAAGAAATTATTTAAAACTAAAGTCAGCACTACATCAGCGAACCTCTAATTTCCTTTTTTTCTTTTATCATATAAGCCAAGTTTGATCTTTAGGGTATAAAAGTATGTAGATATAATCCCCTAATACATGTGGAACCTGTTTTTAACTTTAAGAACTAAATGATATCAAAACACATCTATAGACTATTTTAATCCTTATTATTACATTTACAGATGACAATCCATATTTACTCTTTGTGTTGTAAGTGCAGAGAGTGAACCTCAAGGCATCAGCTCCACACTGGGGAATGCCCTCAGGAAAGTTGGCGGTCTGCTTCTTGATGCCTTGCGACACTTCCGCCGCTGTCAGAATCCCACCTTTGGCACTTGCATGAAGACGATCATTGAGTGCCTGGTCATGTGAGAGGGAAAAAAAATATGCAGATATACTGATTTATTTTTTGTTATTCATATGGTAAGAGAAAAAAAAAGGAAAGTAATAGTATTACCTGATTATCATTGAAGTTATTCACATGAATGTATTCTATCAATCATTATCATTACTTGAGTAATCCATAACGGGTTAGTCTGTTGTTATTTTCTTTAGTTATTCTCAACTTTCTGCATAGTTCCTTATTCCCACTTCATTTAATTTCTATGTAAAGAGTGACTTCTTGTGTGGTACAACTCACTTATAATCCTTATGTTGAAAAAACAAAAATGCAGAATTTTTATACCTGCAATGAAATGCCTTCAATGACATCCGTTGGGTCAATGACATTTCCTTTAGATTTGGACATCTTGTGACCCTGGGCATCACACACTAGACCATGAAGCAGGATATTCTATAAGGTTAGATCATTTCTTTTAAAAAAGGTCATTAAGATTATTCATATTCAGCATGAAATTACTAAATAGCTGTAAACTATTTTCTTCTTAGTATGACTTTTTCAAATGATTTTTACAGCCTACAGCACAAAGTCCAAAGAGTAACGATCTTAGCAGATGAGATGCAAAATTCAATATAAACATCAAAAAAAGTTATAATAAAACAAAAATTAATAAACAAATAAAGGAAAACTTAAAACACAAAATTTCAATATTTAAATTACAAACAAGTATATAAAACCACAAAAGTTTCTGCACTGCCCTACCTTAAAGGGAAGTTCGCCTGTTAGCTGCACCCCCAGCATGACCATACGCGCAACCCAGAAAAACAGGATGTCATGACCAGTTTCAAGAAGCGTGGTTGGGTACAGTCGTCTCAGGTCATCAGTTTCTTTGGGCCATCCAAACACAGCGAAGGGGAAAAGGCCGGATGAAAACCAAGTGTCCAACACATCCTCCTCCTGGTTGATGGCTATTATGCTCGACTCTGAGGCTCCTGCAAGTCATTTAATTAGACATTCTTAACCTTTCATATATATATGAATACATACCAACACACACATAAATACACAATACACACACGCACACAAATACACACACAAACTCGCACGCACGCACGCACGCACGCACGCACGCACGCACGCACGCACACCACGCACGCACACACACACACACACACACACACACACACACACACACACACACACACACACACACACACACACACACACACACACACACACACACACACACACACACACACACGTGACGCAACTGGTTGATATCCAAAGTACAAAAACAAAAAATATATTCATTCCATGCAAACAAACCTGAATTCCTGAGAAACTTCCTCTCTGCTTCCTCTCTTGATTGTGCTGCAATCCACGTCTCTTGATCACCACCATGATGGACACAATAGACAGGGATTCTGTGACCCCACCACAGCTGGCGTGACACACACCAGTCCTTGATGTTCTTGAGCCACTCAAACCACGCTTGCCTGTGGTTGTCAGGGTGAATCTGCAGATCCCCCTTCTGGACTGCACTGATGGCCTGTGCAGCCATGTCATCACAGTCAATGAACCTATGGATGAAGTGGACAAGAAAGAGAATGAAAAATTGTGAAACATGGGTATTCCAGCATTGTGTATCAATAAGTATAAATTATTAAGATTGTTTATCATTCAACTAATTTGGGATTTCTAAATCATGCTTACTGTTAGCTAAAACAATATACTATTAACTATTTAAGAATAAAAGAAGAATAAAAGAGGAAAAAAAAACAATATGAAAAGGATGAATCTTGAACTAACCATTGTGGCTTCAAAAGAGGCTCTATGATATCTTGTGTTCTGCTGCAGCGAGGAACCATCATAGGGTGGGAACGAGAGCCTCGGAATAACTGATGCTCTTTAAGTGCTTCCAGGACCAACTGACGGGCTTCAAATCTTGGAATGTTCTATGTAATGTAGATACAGTAACTTATATAGTACTGTCAAGTATGCCATGACCCACTAATTGATAATATACCACAAACAGATTATGCTAATGACAGGACTTACTAAAGACTATCCTAAACATTTAAAGGACAAGATTTTCTCAAAAGATGTCCAGTGTGTTTGCCTTCCAAGTCACAAAACTCTGTCCCAGGTCCTGAGTGGGGAGTATACAATTATCTTACCTCAAATTCAGGCACAATATCAGTCATTCTCCCTTGCTCATCAAAGACAGTAAGTTCTGGAAGCCCATGTCTCTTTCCCACTTCATAGTCATTCTGGTCATGACCAGGAGTTACCTTGACCACACCTGGCAATTTTTAAGTCCACAAAGGATAATGGCATTTTAAAATATGCACTTTATCTATCACCTCTTCTTATAAATGTAGTTAAGAGGATTACTTTTAACTTCTAAATAGTATAAAATATATAAGCAGTTGTAAGGAAAATTGATCTCAAAATTATTTTTTTAATAAAGGTTAGTGTAAAAACTGTAATATAAAGGACTAAGCTTTTAGGAAATTTTACTTAACATATGCACAAACCTTGACAAGTCATGAACACTTTTATGATATTGTGACAATCAGTGAGAAATACCTGTTCCAAAGCCTGGATCAACATGATAATCTGCAATGACAGGTATGCTTTCATTTCGAAAAGGGTGGTGAACTCTGCTCCCATGAAGATGCTGGTAGCGCTTATCATCAGGATGGACCATAACTGCTGTATCTCCAAGCATTGTCTCAGGCCGCGTTGTGCAGACCACAAGTTCCTCATCTGTGAATACATGTAAAGTATGAATTGTGAAAATATTTGTGACTGAAAGAGCTTTAGTAGTATATGGAAACTTTTCAATGACCACAAAAATTACCATAGCATAAGTATACCTTTTACAACCAAGAGTGCAACCCACATAGATGTGGAAATGGTATTACAGATTTCCATGAATCCATAACAATGATAATAAATTTTCCTGATCATCAAAACAGTTAAAACACATCATATTTAATAACAATAACTGCTAAATAAATTAAAATCATCTAAAGAAGCAATGCCACCAACCTGTGTCTGAAAGTTTATAGGCAAAGTCATACATCATGCCAAAAGTGACTGGCTTTTCATAACCTGGGACTGCAACCTCTGTCTTCCCTGTCAGATGTAAGTGATCCACTTCAATGTCAGATATTGCCGACTGCAAGGCACAGCACCAGTTAACTAAAGCATTTCTTCTGTATATCAAGCCTGAGTCAAACAATTGGATAAAAGCCTCATTAACAGCCTCACACATCACCTGAAAAAGAAAATGAAAAAGCTAATGATTTCATGGTCCTGAAATGTTATGAATGAAAATGAATATAATAATACAAGAGATGTATTAAACTGGTTTAGAATATATCTCCATTAGATGTATGTACTTCTGACGAAGATATATTCAAAACCGGTTGAACCCAATAACGACGGGTGTCCCACATATGAGACACCCGAAAAAATAAACATTGCCGGTGTGACGCTGTATCGGGGCTCGCACTCCGACACAGCAGCAGGCCGCAGCCAGCAGGCAGACAGACTCCGGGAAGTTCCATCGCCAATTTTTGTAGCTGCCCGGAATCTTTTATTTTTGGCTTCAAAATATACCAGCGTTAATGGGTTAATACATCTCTTGTATTATGA